TTGACACCGGGTCCAGATGGAGAGAGACAATGGGTAGAGGCTGCACAAGATCGGCGCGATTCGACTCTATTCGGTGACTTTCTCTCACATTTGCTACCTACTATTAATAAGTACTATAATACGCGCCACCTTTGTAACCGGAAGGTGTAAGGACTGTGAACGCTTCACAAGATAAGGTTTACTTCGGACATACGCTTTGTTAAAGAACGGTTGCACAGAAAGTATGTTAAAAAGTGGGCCTACTGATCAGAAGGAAGTAGTTTTTAATTGTAATTCGAAAATATTTTTAGGCCTCACTAATCATTCTCGCCAAAAATTCAATCGATCGGGAATTCGAAGAGCATGCTTAAAATTAGCATCAAAACAACAGAACGGATGAACGCAGAACCGTTGGGTAACACAGAAAAGATTTAAATAAAACAGATAACTGGTCTTCGCGCAAACGGCTTGACTTGCGCAGTAAAGGGCAATCGAATATACTACCTTTCGAGGTGGTTCATGACTCATTCCTGGGATATTTATGATGCGGGCCACTGAAAAAGCTCTGGTTTTACGGGCCAGAATGGCACATTAAAATGAGACATTACTAATGAATGTGCAATGCAGTGTAATCGAAGAATCTACTAGTATTATGACAGGCGTTTAATTCGCCTTATCTAAGTCGTAAACACACGAAAGGTAGCCTTCATTAGATACGCCATGAATATAACTTACTGTCATAGCATAGGAGGAGCTGGAGACCGTCCGTGTTAGGCAAAACGACAATACATTGGGGCGTTATGGTCCCTCCGTTTGGCTACAACAAGGAAGGGCATCAAATTAATGTGATAAAGCTAGCATGTACATTATAACGATTTCTTCAACAGTACTATGCAGTACTTAATAGGTGGGGGGAGGGGGTACCTTGGAGCATAGGTAGAGGTCAAACACAGTGTTCGTGTCGAGGTCGATGGCGTGAAAGCCAGCAACGGAGCCGTATATGACCTTCAGACGTTGGTTTTCCTCCACGGTGAGATCCACAAGAAGGGGTTTAAACCGCAGTGAGGAGAAATGCTGTAGGGAAAAGGGAGAAATTGCTTAATGACTAATCTCAGACCAGTCGGGAATGTTCGGATCGTGGTTTGATTGACCGCAAAACGTCCAAGTGGTGTGATGCACGTACTAAATTTCAACAGCAATTAACCAATCAACCACAAACGCAGTTGCGTAAGGACGTTTTGTCGAAGTCGCGCACAGGCCAGAGGCAACCAGAAGGCGTCAGATAGTGTAACAAAAAGATACACTGCCACGGTAAGAAACACCTCGAGTCGTCTATAAAATCTGGTAAACTTGCTTGCGGACAAAGCAACTACGTCGGAGAAACCGACAGACTTCTCGAGACGCGAATGGCCGAACACGTGACGGCAGTGCTGAGAAATTACACATAAATTCTCATGTTGCGGCTTGTTCGATGAGACCCGGTCACACGTTAAAAGTTGATGAGGTCGAATTTCTCGCGGGAGATGTGAAAATCGTGTGGGCCGCCAATTACTTGAGTTATGGTTCACGGGCCCCCAGTCTATAAACAAGTGCAACGACCTGCCACATGCATATTCGACGCTAAAGCTCAATTTGGCCAAAGCAAGTCGCCGCTAGGTGAACGCATCGTATAACGCCAGCGCCAGGGAGCCAGAGCAATCGTCACTTTTAAGTCCACAACGTGGGATGAAATGTCAGCAGGTCACGACCCGCAAGCCGACCATTAAGCCATTAGCGCATAAGCCTGCAAGTCTCCACGACAGGGGGAGCCGTTAATTGTCATAAGTATGCAGTAGCATGATGACTGTATCCTATAAATACTGCAAGTCCCTGTGTAAGGACCACCCGTTTCTGCTATTGCCTCTGATGATGAATCCACGACGGAGTTCAAAACGCCAGGTGAATAAAATTCTTGTCCCAACGATCAAAAATACTCCTTCAAAACCTTAACTTAAGCGGTTATTGTACAAGATGGCCTTTAGAGGACCCCTCTGTAGTTCAATATCATCATCCAATCCCTCTTGGGTCGACGGCAGAAAACTGGAAGTTTGTGGGAAATTCAACCTACTTAAAATTTGTAAGTAGATGGTTATAATACATAAGCACCCTACTGCGACCCCAATAGGAACTCTAATCTAAAACTCTTGTCCCAACGATCAGAGCTACTCCTTCACAACCTTAACTTTGCTTCATACTTTCACCTCATCGGCGAAACCTACTCAAAAAGACCTTCCAACATCAAACAACGCATCAATGTCATAGTCGACAAAGGTAAAATAAAAAACCTCACCTTGAAGGCCATAAATTTGTGGTATGGTCGCGGTGCCCAAGCGTAGATTTCAACCGAATCTCGTAGCGCGATCACGAGGAACTTGATATTTTCGTGTTTAACTGTCAGACAGAAAGAAGGATATGATGGCTCAAATGGGTTACTTCTTCAAGATCGGGCAAAAAAGGCTCAAAAACAGCGTGATTTTCAAATGTTTTAATCCCGAGGCAACAACTACCTGCTTCGGAAAATATGAAATTCCTCTACAGAAGCATAAAGACACGCACGTGTGCGTG